CTCAAATCTGGCAGCATAATTTAAGCTGGAAGGCGCCTGAAATACGGCTCTCGTTATGCGCCTTTTTCCGTAACTCTAATGAGGAATGGAACAGAGTTTGAAGTGAAGCTGGTGCTGTTGAGGGGCATGCGTTTTATGTGCAACGAACCGGAGGCGCGGAGTAGGAGGAAGCCGCATAAATTACAAACACAACTAAAAGTAATAGAGCAGCCAAGGGGCAGGGAGCGGTAGTGTGTCCGAAGTTGGGGAAAAAAACAACAAAAAAACTAGACGACTTACAATTAATGGCCCTGTGGGGTTTCATCGCCATACAGCCTTGGGGGCTCTGGAATACCCACACTCGTTTGGATTTGTGTTCTTTCTTGATTTGCCTTTTGTCGCGATCGCATTGTTCGAATGGGGACAAAACAAAAGGGTTACAGTGGAGACACATTAGTGATGAAAGCAAGCAGACACGCGCCGGGATAACATTGTGATTGCTTTCGCCTGATCAGAGACTGATAGGAATAGAGAAACAAAGCGCAAATGGTTTTGGCTTTGGTTTTGGTTTGCATAATGTTTTAGCCAGCCCCAATAGATGTCAACCAATAACTTGGTTAAGTTTCCAGCTAAAGTTCTGAGTATCGATAAGGTTCTAATGAATCAAACCCTTTATATCTTTGTCAGCCCTCTCGTGCCCTCTCCACTCTGTTTGTGAAAGTATAAAGCAAACGTGTATGCACATGGGTGCACAATAAATATTTATGTACCCCGTATATTCTATAATGATTGTCCTGCTTTTCTATCTGCGCATGGGAACTCTCTTTTTGGTGGCGCGTTAAAAGCCCGAGAAACGTTCCCGTAATGGCAGTGCGGCAACAATGGCAGCTGGTGGCAGGCGGAGGAGGGGGAGGAGGAGGAGGAGTACTCCAAGGACTACACCTCGAAGGTGTGCTGAGCGGGAAGCTCTTTGTTGTTGTGCTCGACAGGGCACACCGAAAGCACCCACATGTCTAGGTGTCTGGCTGCTTGGCTGTTTGGCTGTCTGGCTTGGTGGGGTGTGTGCGTGCCTTTGCGTGCACAATGCAAATGTATTAACTGCAGGACGTTTAAAACAAAAGAAATTACGTTATGCCTGCAGAGTGCTGTAACAGAGGGGATTTTTCCCTTTTTCGCATTTTGCCTGCTCCTCCCCATATGGTTTGCTGTCCGTGTCCGTGTCCGCACTCGCGTCTGACTCACGTCTGCACCGGGCACGTCCATTTGTCTGCCGAGTACTGAACGGAACTGAGCTGCCAACAGCCACAACAGCACCTCGCCCCACGACCGGGACAAGGACAGGACAGGATGTGTCTGTGTGTGTGGTTTTTGTGGGTGGATTGCGAGATGGGTGGATGGTTCGTATGCACTTCTCACTGTATTCTCCGGGCGAATGAGTTATTTCTCGGTGGGAGTACGGGGCTGGCCATTTCGACTACGGGTGTTTTTGTATTTTTAAGCCATTTTCCGCTGCATTTACTTCGGGGTTCCTTCTTCGATGAGGTGTCAGTTTATTGATTCAGCAACCTTTTCCCTTCTTGTGTGTGGCAAAAGAACGGATTGTGGATGTATGCCTAATTGGAGTACTTTTATCTGACTATGATGATTAATAATACTTAAAAAGTGCTTCATAAATATTGTCTGAGACCTTTCTCCCATGTAATGTTTTCGTACTATTTCCACATGGGGTCTTCTAGGGAAAGTGCCAAATCATGGCATTCCTCCACGATAGGATTGCGCTGACAGAACGGGGAAAATAAGGGCAGGATGAGTATGGGGCTTTAAGTGCAAGTGTTGACAAGAAAACCTAACGACTGACAGCTGAGACAGTCCCAAGACGGACGCCGCAACGATGACTCGTAGCAATCGTAGGAAAAATACGAAAAAGAGGAAAAATCAAATCTCGTCGTTGTCGATTTGCCTTTTGGGTAAATCCTTGTGGCAGATTAATAGGCGGGGCAAGAGACCCAACCCAAGAGCAAGACAAGACCAAGACCAAGACCAAGACCAAGCAACCCGCAAAGGCAATCCGAATCAAATTTATTTATTTATTTTGATGTTTTTTGCTGTTGGCAGTTTCCTCATTTGTGCCCAGCGCAGCACATAAGCCGACAGCAACGTGAAGCTGTGTGTTTTCCATCGAGATTGGGGAGCTGGACGCACGAAAAGGGTCGAGGTCATGCTAATGATTAATACGCGTGGCTGCTTGACCACCCCTGCCAGCTCCTGGCCACCGATTGGCGTGTCCAGTGGCTGGGGATGTACTCGTATTTGCACGGGGTGGAGGTGGGGCTAATGGAGTGCGGACAAAAATAAATCACCTGTCCAGGGGAGATGCTCTGCGTACTCCTCATACGTTGATATGGCTGGGAAATATATAAATTAGAAAATGCTAAACGGATGTGGGCTACAGTGGGGAGCGGTTGGATGTTGCAGCATACTCCATTGCCACACTTCCTGACCCTGGCCACGTAGAAGGCCACATATTCCATTTCGGTGCGAGCAAACATCCAGCATATGTATGTAAATGTGTGTGTATGTGTCGTCTGTATGCATGTATGTATGTGTGTTATGCGTGTGACACTACTTTTACACACACGCACGAGTGGTATATACACACTCATAGCATTCGGCATTGCCCAGCGAGTGCAAGCGAGACGACACACTTAACAGCGCAACTCATGCTCTCGCTGCGAGAGAAACAGAGCGACTGAGCAACAGAGAGAGTGAGAGAAAGAGAGCAATTTGCAGCTTTCTATCGTACTCGCTCGTAGTACTCGCAGGCGTAAAAATGTGTAAAACGCAACTTGACAACCGACTAGGCTCCCGGCTACGGCTACGGCTACGGCTACGGTGCTCAGTGCTGCTCGCTCTGATGAATGAGATTAACCGTTACAGTGGCACACACACACGCACACGCTTGCATAGGCACACGAAGTACCGGTGTGGCCGAAATCAACCCCCTGTCAGGCAGGCAGGCAGGCATTCACAGTGCTCGTCGCGACAAATGACTGCAAATGACCTCAGCCAGGAACAGGAACAGCAGCAGCAGCAACAAAAGCAAACCAGCAAAACAGCAACCCCCAAGCAAACCCAGACGAACCGCCGAAGCACTTGCTGCTGCTGCTGCTGCCCGTTGCCATTGCCTGCTTTCTGTGTGCGTTGCCTGATTTTTCTCCCCTCCGTTCACCGTTACCCCGCACTGTATTTATTATGCACGCACTGTTGTTGCTGTTGTTGTTGTTGTTCCTGTCGCACTGATATGTAGCCCAGGCAGCCGCCCTCGCCGTTATCTTTGGACTCGATCAAATCCCTAATCACCCAGCCCCAAGCGGCTGCATCCGCCAGGCCTGTGTTCTGTGTACGCTCTGTACTCACACAGCATAGTTTTTATGAATCTTTCAAAGCGAAACTGAACTGTGCACTGATAATCTTATGAACTTTTCTGAACATCCACAAAGTGCACACAACTCACACAATTGTGATTCACACTTTTTGCCTCTCACTTATGCACGGAACGGGAACGGGAACAAAACGAAACGAACGGCACGACGGCTAAAAAAGTTCTGCAAATGTAATCCTCATTTAAGATTTAACATTCGAGCTAACAGCCTCCACTCGCTGGGCCGCGATTGTTTTAGCTTCTCGCTGTGCTAACATTTACCTAATGCTTCTCGCTGCGCTGCAGTTTCCACCGAGTTGGCAGCACTCTGTTAAGCTTATCGATTGCAGGAGGGCTGTGTGCGAGCAGGACAGCTCTAAACTCTACTGAGCTCCAACGGCGGGTGGCAGTGGGTTGAGGGTGGCAGGCAACATGTCCCTTTGATGCCACTTTCCCACGAAAACTGAGTAAATTTTAGAACTTTCACACTGTAATCGACACTCGGCTTTAATGGCCAACACCTTCAGTCACTGTTGGCGATGTTTGGGGCTGAATCTTAGGCACACAAGACTCAGAAGATATTCAATCCGAACAATGCGTACTTCTGACGGACTCGAACTCGACCCGCAGCGAAGTTGAAAGAGAACTGAAGCCCTTGCCGGCGCCTTCGGGGGTAGAAAACTCATATAACCCGACCCACAATCAACCACCAAAAGAGCGACGTTCTCGCGCTCTCTCTCAGCATACACTCCACTCTTTTAGTTGCCTCCTGTTATCCATAGGCGCATTTTACTGTACACAAATTTGGCGCCCCAAAACGTAACGTAATCGTATCTCAATGAATTAGTAACAGAAACTACCATCAGCACGTTCTACCGCCCTGAATTAAGAACTTATAGATGGGATGAGAAGATGGTAGTGGGAAGACTCTTTATCGTATGACAATCGTAACATGAGACTTGTGCGTCGTCTGCAGTCTGGGAATTGCCTTGAAATCAAATCGATTTCACGCCACCCGCCTACCCCACACGGACACACAACGGACACACAGCGACAGGGCTATCGATGAGTTTGGAGCACAAGCGGAGCCATGTCCTGTAATTTGTCGCCGCCACACGACAGTGCTTGTCAGTGCCTGTCTGCCGACCGCCCTTCGGTTGGACAATTTAATTATAGCGCCGAGCGTGAGGTGGCTTTAAGGTAACGTAACCCGAGAGCAAAGCCCTGGCAACCACCCAAGGACTACTTGTGGACGCATTCGAGCCCAAGCGCCTACGTCAGAAACATCAGAAACATGCGTTTATCTCGTAATTAAATTTAAATGGGATAACTTTGTGCCCTCTTTGCGTTTCCGTCTCTCAAAGAAATTAGCGTCTGGGCCATGTCATAAGACAAACGGACAAAGATAGAGCTGATGGCAGCTTGACTTTAATTATAATGGACAAAGCCTTTGACTTTTAATCGTTTCGCAGTCTTTTGACAAAAAAAAAATGTGACTACCTTTCCAGGTAGATGTTGCCTCAGAGTATTGTTTTGAATTCACTCTTCTGGTATTCCTTTTGGGCGTGGCAGTCCTTATGGAAGCATTAATGGATCAAGCTTCGTTTATAGGTCCTTTATTCGTTGAATATATCATAGCCGAAATGAGATTTAAACTTAAACACTTCCTGAAAGTGGATAGATCGTGTGCATGTAAATGAAAATTATGTGTATGTGTCAGTAACCCACTCAGCAAATATATGAATAGCCATAAACCCTATGTTGATACCCTTTTACCATGTTCCTATAATAATACTGTAAAATATAAAGATCAAACTTGTTAAACAACTTCACTGGTAAACCGTTTCCTGCCTAGGCTACTTTCTGGCCACCTTGCCTTCTGGCCTTTGCAGCTTTCGACTCGACTATCGAGCAATCCACGCGACTGGGGAAATTGCAGACCTTTCTTGTTATATCGAAATTCAGACCCTTCGGACATTGACGGGGAATGGAGCGACCGTTGGCACAGACATAAAATTTGCTGCACGAACTCAGATCCCTCACATGTTCACCGTTGGGAAGCGATGTGCAGTCAAAGATCGACTTCTGTTCCACTTTCTTAGCGGTCGAGAGCTTCTTGACGACGGAGACTTGAACATCATCAATAGAGCAATCCACGAGGCTGGGGAAATTGCAGACCTTCTTCCTGATGTCAAAGTTGAGAATGCTGGGACAGCGACGGGGAATGGCCTTTCCATAGGCACACACGTAAAATTTGTTGCAAGACGTCGGATCCCTTAAGTAGGTTCCAGTTGGGAAGAAACTGCAGTCTGTTCTTGCCTGGAATTTCGAGGAACTCTCTGAGATTGTGCCTAGCTCTCGGTCATGTGGCGACTGTTTAATTCCCGCCGAATTCAGTGGCTCGGCCTTGGAACCATCATTAACTGGACGGTTGGCCAACGAAATAGGTTCGATTGGTCTACGGACGGGCAATGATGATGCCGTTTCGATTACCGAAGAGCTTTCCGCTAATTTTTCGTTAGATGAGCTTATTTGAGTAATTTGCTCGGATGAACTTTTCGTAGAAGATTCCATGGACAATGGTTCTTCAGAGCTGGAACTGTTTGACTCCGTTGAACTCTCCGGAGATGGCTCCGTGGAGGAAGGTTCTTCAGAGATGGAACTGTCTGGCTCCGTTGAACTCTCAGGAGAAGGTTCCGTGGATGAGGGTTCCCTCGAGGATGGTTTTTCAGAACTGGAATTACTTGGCTCGGTTGAACTTTCCGGAGAGGATTCCGTAGATGAGGGCTCTGCGGAGTTGGAACTGTCTGGCTCCGTTGAACTTTCCGGAGAAGGTTCCGTGGATGAGGGTTCCGTGGAGGATGGTTCTTCAGAACTGGAGTCACTTGCCTCCGTTGAACTCTTCGGAGATGGCTCGGTGGAGGAAGGTTCTTCAGAGCTGGCACTGTCTGGCTCCGTTGAACTCTCAGGAGAAGGTTCCGTGGATGAGGGTTCCGTGGAGGATGGTTCTTCAGAACTGGAGTTATTTGGCTCCGTTGAACTTTCCGCAGTAGATTCCGTGGAGGATGGTTCTTCAGAGCTGGAACTATTTGGCTCCGTTGAACTCTCAGGAGAAGGTTCCGTGGAGGATGGTTCTTCAGAGCTGGACTCACTTGGCTCCGTTGAACTCTCCGGAGATGGCTCCGTGGAGGATGGTTCTTCAGAGCTGGAACTATTTGGCTCCGTTGAACTCTCAGGAGAAGGTTCCGTGGATGAGGGTTCCGTGGATGAGGGTTCCGTGGAGGATGGTTCTTCAGAACTGGAGTTATTTGGCTCCGTTGAACTCTCAGGAGAAGGTTCGGTGGATGATGGCTCCGTGGAGGATGGTTCGTCAGAGCTGGACTCACTTGGCTCCGTTGAACTCTCCGGAGATGGCTCCGTGGAGGAAGGTTCTTCAGAGCTGGAACTGTCTGGCTCCGTTGAACTCTCAGGAGAAGGTTCCGTGGATGAGGGTTCCGTGGAGGATGGTTCTTCAGAACTGGAGTTATTTGGCTCCGTTGAACTTTCCGGAGAAGGTTCCGTGGATGAGGGTTCCGTGGAGGATGGTTCTTCAGAACTGGAATTAGTTGGCTCCGTTGAACTTTCCGGAGATGGTTCCGTGGATGAGGGTTCCGTGGAGGATGGTTCTTCAGAACTGGAGTTATTTGGCTCCGTTGAACTTTCCGCAGTAGATTCCGTGGAGGATGGTTCTTCAGAGCTGGAGTTATTTGGTTCCGTTGAACTCTCAGGAGAAGGTTCCGTGGATGAGGGTTCCGTGGAGGATGGTTCCGTAGAGCTGGAGTTATTTGGCTTCGTTGAACTGTCGGGTGAGGGTTGCGTGGGTGAGGGTTCCGTGGAGGAGGGGGGCATGGAGGAGGCCTTGCTCGGTCTCTTAGCGGGGTCGGGTTGGGATGG